CCCCCCCCCCCCCCAAAAAAAAAATAAATCTTTCTTTTTATGGATTATAATTGTTTATTAAAAATAATTTAGAACCCTTGGATTGCCAATTTTAAGCAGCCAGAATTTTCACATCTCATTTTAAGTTTGATTTTTTTGTTTAGCAAAAATAAGAATGATATAAACACTTAATTAGACCCATATTATATAATATATAATAATTAATTATAAATTAAAGTAAATAAATAATTATAATTTAAAAATTAAAAATTAAAAACTATGTAACTATTCGATAATTTTATTAAGCACCCGGTACTTTTCATCATATTTGTGGGCCAATCTGGCAATTTTCATAATCAACAGGAGCAAAGATAAGGCCGTAAATGGTTGGTCTTATTTTTTTTAAAAGTACTATTTTAATTTTAAAAATTACTTAATAATTTAAATTATTACTCTATAAATTTGTATTTTTTTATTAATATTATAATCAGAATATTTAAAGTTATCTTTTTTTTTCAGCCAATCATATATTCGTATTTCAGTGTTCTGACGTCAGCAACACTTGCTGACTTTCTTGCGTGATGATTCTCATGTCAGGTACTGCGAAGGCAAACGACAGTTTTGATTCAGAAGTTGGATAAATATATTGTTACGTTGTTAAATTATTATATCATGTATAAATAATTTAAAGCTTTTGACGATCCGTGGTAAGGTAAGCATTATTTATTTATTTAAATGGTTTCATACTTTGTAGACAATTATTGACAATGGTGTACGCAATGTAAATGTTTCAAATCAACAACCGAGAAACTGAAACTCAGAAGTCATTTTTTTAAATTCAACCCTTAATTTTATTTAAGCGATAAACTTGTTCAGATAGTTAATTTACCCATTCAATTGTAATTTAATGATAAATACACATATTAATATTAACTATTTTTAAAAATTAGTTATTTGCAATTATTTGTTTAGTGCAGGAAGTAGATCATTCTTTTTCTAACTTTGGGCTTTGGGAATTTTGTTTGTCAGCCGTAGTCTGCCTCCGTCTAAGTTTCCCAGCTGATTTACTGGCCTTTGTTGACCTACTTCTGAAATAATGGAAAAGGAAGGGTGAAAATACGTAACAGAAGTACTAGTAGAAACTAAGGATTTTTTTTTTTTCATGTCTTCGTCAATATTAATTTTCATTTTATTATTTTCTGGTTGGTTACTATTGGCTTTCAATTAAATATCTTTTAGAAATGGCGTGGAGATGGCGGCTTTGGCGTAAGCTATTGATTTTTCCTCCCGAGTAGGAAATTTCTAGTTGGCGGCCAATCCTTGCAAGCGAACCACCACCTACACACTGCGTGATCGCGTTTAGCTTTGGCCTGACTGAGACTGAGGGGAAACAGAGAAGTGGGTTAGTTGAGCATGGGTGCCATGGCTACAATAGCCAACAAACCCTAGTTTCGGTTATTAGAATAGAGTTCAGATAGAAGCTTATCATCAAGCATATTATAATTCGAATTATAATTTATATTACATGCGGGCCAATATTCCTACTGCCGCAATCTAGGCTGTATTGAAGCCTATTTAATATTTAAATTCACAAATCTGCCATTTAATGTAAATAAATAATTATTTCTACAAGGCCTAAATTTTAAATATATTTAATTTTTAATATTATTACTTTATTGGTATTGAGATTTTAATATGCCTATCCTAAGTAACTAAGTAGCTAATATAATAGTAATAATAGTCAATATTAAATATGATTTACTATGGTATAGTTAGGAATAAAATAAAAGTATAGGCTTACATTAGATTGCGATAGGCTAAGCTATTTGAATTTGTCATGAAATGTAAGTGAACACTTCTACACTGACACTACACTGACTCTTTAATGCTTTCTCATTTTTATACATTGAAATTTAATTTTTAAATCAAAATACAATGGCTTAGTTTTTTTTCAATCTCAATAATTTACATTTGATTGTTGTACTGGTTTGAGTGGTAAAGCAACCACAAAAATATAATCTAATATTGTGAAAATATTTTTACAAATATATATAGGCTAGTCCAAAATAAAAAAAAATGGCTTGCTTTTAATTAATTTTTTAAAATTTATTATTATACTGTACTATACTAGAGAGAATGTTCTATGTCAAAATTATGTATGGTATAATTCTTAAATGACATGGCCATGCCTTGGACTTGGATATGACATATAATTTGTAATATTGTCACATCAAATTGACCATGATTATGACATAAGAATTGTTTGCTTTCTTTTTAAATCTCTTTGAAAATGACACTTTTAATTATGGTCTTTTTACTTAAGTAAATTTTATTTGTATACAACATTAACGTTTAAATAGTTGTAGTGGGGTGATGTAGAAAAAAAGTATTCACATGTTTTTTATTTTGATGTTTCAGCGTTATGCCACCCATGGCGACGTCGTCAGCAAAGCGCAAGTGGTCAGATGTATTTGGGGATAGGGACATCTGTGATAAGCAGTCCATTATGGATTTGTGTACTACCAAGCTGCGCTATGTGAACCCTGCTCGCCCCCCTCGGAGACGGACTGAGGTGCCCCTTCTGCGAAATGTACTCATAGTTAATACAATGAAACATCTCTCCGCTGAGATGAAAACTGAAAAGCAAATGGAATATAACAATGAAGATCTTAGTGTTGATCCTGGTCATTTTGAAGGACTACCTCCTCTATCTGAATTACTCACAGATATTATGTTGGATCCTCAACCTATAGATCAGCAGCAGCAATCAGTCTCATCCTTTGGCTGGACATCCACTGGAGGGCCACCGTATGCCACACCACTAGAGCCTAGTATTCCCTCGTATATGGACACCTCTGATGGTGTCATGGAAGGGGGAGATGAAGAAAAGATTGTTCATGACTTATTGCCATGTACAAGTGTCATGGGTATGAATCCTGCACAACATTCAACTTCTTGGGATACACAGGGCAGTCCCCAACAACATTCAAGCAATTGGCAAGTCAATGTTAGCAGTGCAGGTCATCACTCTCCTTCATGGGATGCACCGTGTGATCCAAGTGTTCTGGACTGTTTCTTGTCAAGTGCCTCCATACAACCATCTCCTAGTGATTCATTAGATACTCTAGCCTCTGATCTAGCATTCCAGTCATCAAGCACCCCTCTTCCCTCTTTCACCTCTCTTTTTGAATCCCATCATAGTTCATCATTTACAGAACTCTTACCAACATCAACACTGCAAGGTCCTACTTCATCATCCACCATATCCCCTTCCTCATTCATGGCATCAACATCAGCCTCTTTCCCAACAATCGGTGGTACTTCTACTGAAGACTTGATAGGTAGTGTTAATCTGACTGAATCTGAACTGGAAATCCTCCTGGCCATGACAGTTTCATCCAGGCATATGTCATTTGAAGATTTAGTTCAAGCTTTACCTCTGCAGCAATCATCTCAACCATCACAGTCATTCTATGTGCCTTCCTCACTACAGAGTAGTGTCAGTCCAGGCTGTGAAAACTCACCCGCTGCCAACAACCAGTGTTCCAGCTATTGCCGCAATGACCAACCTCCACCAAGTGTGGATGAAAGCAGTATGGTTCGAGTGCTAGTCAACCTTTGAACAATCATAACCTATATTGTACCAATAAACTTGTTGCCTTCCAGCAAAGGCCTAAATTTTGCCAGCACCAGGGTGTTCAACACCAAAACTGGTGAGTGGTGTCTCAACATGCCTTGCCTTGATTATAATTATACTCAAATTTGACAAGGACCACATTTTTTCCTCTGAAAAATGTCAACCCCATTTAAGAAAAAAAAATTAAAACTATGCCTTAATATTCACACAGAATTATTAGTATGCATAGGGCTCTCTTTGCTATGTACGTGAGAAGCTGGAGCACTAACTGTTTTGAAGTCCAGAAGATTGTTCCATTAGAGGAAGATGTATTAGGAGATACTCAGGGAAAGATGATTGATCCATGCAAAGCTTGCTATTTATTTTCTTGTTGCCATACAATTGTATTAATGTTCAATATAATCAGTAGTTGGAGCAATGAAATGTCAAGTCAAAGCTGCATGTGAACAAGGACATATTCATAGATGATAATTTCTCAGCCAATCTCCATTAGTATTCTACTATTTGTGCTATTCTTACACTCCATCTCGAGGGGTACCGCATATGACATTGAGTAGAAGGCTGGTGAGACCAAAACTTTGGGTTTGGTACATTATCGCCAGGGTGACTAAAGCATTGTGATATTGTGTTCATGAATAATGCAATGTAAAATGGAATGATTGATTTCATATAATTAGGGTGTGATATGAACAGAATCACTAATTTAAGGGTGTCCTTCCAAGAATTTAATGTTTTAAAGTTTTTAGATATGTGAGTGCATGTTAAACTGTACAATCTCCAGAGTACAATAATTGTAGATAATATCATTGTATCTGTACAACATGGTTAAAGTTAAAGCCAAATGATGTGTCCAAACCTATTTATACAACAAAGGCAAAACTGTACTCTGAAGTTTCGACATATGACTAGGTCAGTTTCTGGACTGTCCTTTGTCCATAAGTCATGGCTGTGATTTTTATGTCTTTTCGCTGCTGATCACTACTGTTAAATTCTGCTTTAAGGGAAAGAACATGCTTCATTAACTGAACTATTTATATTTTGAGTTTAAAAAATTTCTGTATCTTTAATATCTATTAATATTATCATAGCTAGTATAAGTAGAATAAGTCTAAAGTTTTTGTTTTTTCAGTACTCGGTATAATGAATAGTAAAAAATGTAACATTTTAAACTATCATAATTTTTTTTTTCTCCCACTAACCTTCAGCCATATATGATATGTGAAATAAGTGTAAGGAAACATTTGACATAAGTCTTTAGTTGTTTTAATCTGCATCTGCGCAACAACCAATGTCTTTCAGTCACTTAATTTTTCTCCATTTATCAGACTGCATCCCTTAATAATACGTAGCCCAGTAGTCAGCGAAAAAATTGTATTGTATATAAATCTAACAGAGTGTTTATTTTTTCATGATTGTTTTTGTTTGAATGCAAATACTTATAAGAATGGCAAGAATGTGATATGATTGTCTATAATATTTGATACAATGGTTTAGATCAAATAAGCTAGAGCGTTTGAGATTATTTTGGCCAATTAGACTCCTTTCAGGTCACAGGTTTTTAGTTAAACAAGGGTTAAATTGTATATATTTGTGCTACTCAAGTCTCTTACTTTTATCCATCATCTGAGATTAGATTGTGATCAGTAGTGAATTGCTTGAAAACAAAAAGCAAAAGATTTAAATTGGGCAGCTATTTATTTTTCTCCACTGGTCTTTTGTTGGATGCCTTTTGATTTGTTTCCCTGATTTATCTGATATCTAATAAAAGATGGAGACTTCCCAGGTGGGACTAGTATTTTTTTTAAAATGAAAATGTGAAGAGATAGTTTAATGTCGGGAGATGTTAACATATTTTTTGTATGAATCTCTATTTCTGACAGAACTAGAAGCTTTTGTTGATGATGTTTGTCCTAGTCCATTACTAATGCATTGTTTTATCATTTGTCCAATAGTTCTTGCAGACGATTATGTCAAAATTTTTAATCAATATGTATTGCTTAAAACTGTTTTATTATTATGCTTTTGGATGAAGAATACTTTTATATCAAAGCTAAAAATATCAAGGAAAGATATTTTGAATAGACTACAATTTTTTTTACCCAGCATGCTTGGTGTAGAATCTGTTCAGCTAAGTCACACATTTCAACACCTGGTCAAAATTAGCACCCATAGGAGGCATTTCATTCAGTATTTTCATTAGTAATTTATTTTAATTCTGAATTTAATAAATACCACTAATTTTAAGTATAATTTGACAGTAGTAGGTTCTCTAAAAGTATCAACTTTTTATTTAGGCTGCTTTGTAAAGCAGGGGAAAATAAGTTCTAAATATGTATGAACATCAAATTATTTTTCTTATTGTTTAAGAAAGGTAAGGAAAGCTAGCATTCGAAAGGTATGCACACAGCTTTGGGGCACTTAATGTTACAGCATGGTGTGTAGCCTTGTATTTACACATTATCTCTTGGGTTGTTTTTTTTTTTTTAAGCTGGCCTGTGTTTCAGCTTTAATTATCCATTATTTTTAAATAAAATAAACTTCATGTAATTTTATGCAAAGATTTTTTTTTCTCCGTCATTGTACTGTAACTAAATCACATCCACTGTAAAGCATAATTGGCTATTGTAAATATGCTTATTACTTTTAATTACTTTTTTTAATGAAGAAAAAAGGAACATGTGCAAAATCCTTTACACTATACTTTTAATAACTAAAGTTCTTATATTGCTCTGGTGCCTATGTGTTAAAATAAAATATAATGTCCCAACTGAGATGAGTGTTTATGAAATTGACTTGAGATACCAAGTTTATGTTATAATGTTGGACCAATATGTTAACATGAATAGAAATGAAATTGATAGGTTTGTATGCCATTTATTTATTTACTGTCTAGAAAGTTATACAGTTGTCTCAGTCACCACCAATAAGCTCATTTGAATAAGTTAAGAAATTATACCAATAACTAAAAGTTCATCTTAAAGGCCAGTTAAGTTGCATACCATGTAGTAATCTGTTTATAGCGGTTTCTGTTTATTCTTACTAAGGATTAAGCTATTTTCACTTGAGGTTGTCCTGTAAGCCCAGGACACCAACTAAACTAGAATATGCACTTAAATTAGTTTTAAACCCATTACAATTGGACCCATCGTCAACGCAACAAAAAAATACTACACTAAGCAAAATATACTTACATTAATTCCTGTATTTCGCAATGCTGTTTAGTATATATAGACTGTCTATTTTGGAAATTAAGTCATTCATTTACTTTTACTTAATGTAATAGCACAACAAAAAAGTCACAATTCCATAAATGTCCCACACTGATTTAATTGCATAGACAGCCTCAGAACATGAAGAGGGAAGGAACATTGATCATTGAAAGAGTGTGACGAAGCTCATTGTGATTATTTTACATTCTGAAAATCCTTTTTGCATGCCAAATATGAATAAACTATGTTTGCTTTACTTTTTATCAGAATCAAAAGTTGCCTTTGTCATTACACACAAGGAGAAAGGAGGTCCTCTTATTATGTGTAAAAAAAATTAAAATAAAAAAAGTATGATTCCATCTACTTTACACAGGATGGTGTATCCTAAGATATCACTTTTGCACTTTTTGCTTTACAACCTATTGCAGCCAGTGCTGTATCATATATGGATTATTTCATATTGTGAAATGCTTTGGACTTAATGTACATTAGGACTTACACATTTGACTCACTATTTATTATTTAAATTTGTTGCTGTATTTTATCAGCTACAGAGTTATACACTGCAGGGTTTAAAAAAGAAAGAAATCAATTTGTATAGTGTAGAAAATATTAATAAGAACATTCTTCTAGTAGTACTAGGGGAGAATTATTGCCTAGACCTACTTAGTGTGAAGGGCTGCTGCAGCAGTTACTAAATCATTTCTTATCATAACCTACTCAACTTAAATTTGCATTCTTTCCCTGTCAAAGAATAGTCTAACAAATAAAAAAATAAATATTTTTAGTCTGTAAATATTATTACAATGGTAGATTTATTGCCATAACATTATATTTATGCTTGAGAGAAAGTGATAAAATTTACATGAGAGGCAGTGAGTCAGTTTCAACATTCCAGGAATCGATTGGTATGTGATCCATGAGAAAGATAGCAAATTGTTTATTTTGAACTCTTGTATCGCAATGACTTTTGTTTAACGAAATTAGTAACAAAATATCTGTTGCTTGAAGAATGAAGTCAACAAGAAACACAATTCATTCAAATATATTTGAAAGAAAGGGATGATTTTTGAGATTCAGGCATGAAAGAATTTAAAAACAGTTTGATTACAATAATACCCATCATTGGGTACCGGTACATCTTAAAAAATATTTGTTACCGTAAATAATTTTTTTATTGTACTGGTCATGTTTCCAATTTTAAAGTAAATCCCATTATTTTTGTAAAAAATTATTTCCCTAGACCAAACTGATTGATATACAAATGAACTTAATAATAAAAACCTATTGTTTAAAACCGAAGGCCAATATATTTAAAAGAATTTTTTTTAATATTCTTTACTGATGTGAGCCTTGTAAACAATTCAATTTTGTGTTGAATGTATAGCATTTAATAATGCATTTAATATATTATGGTAAACATGGAAATGATGTAACTTGCTTTGAAACGAAAAATATTGTGTAGTATAACAGGCCTTGTTGCAATTTTTAGTCATTTGCCTGACTTGCTCTTCTGCTATACATTTTTAACATTAGACCTATTATCACTATGGTGAAAGAAGTATGTATTAGCAGTTGGTTAAAAGGAAATATCATACTAAGGTGGTCTTGTCTCCCACCACCTTCATGATACGGTGGCTTGAGAAGTTTCTCTCGCAATTTCTTGTTCAACTGTCATCATCAGTTCGTGTCCCCTCCCCTCCCCCCATGAGTCATTGTGATGTGATATTGCATGCACGTCACACCATTTCGGCACTAGTGCATTCTAATTTATTGGGTATCAAGGACCGGTGATGCTTGTTGAATTCTGGGAGTCCTGGCCACCACGGCAGCATCGTTTATTATTTATATGTTACTGCTATTATCATAAAGCAATTGTTGATGTTAATTATTTTCACTCTGAGTGTCTCTACTGCAGATCATGCATCGATGGACTATTGCAAATTTCTCATTCATCAACGCCGTTCTGGACTCACAAGATGAAGAAATTACACGTTATTTATACTTTGGTAAATAATATAAATAAACATACAATTATAAATTGTTCTTGCATTTGAGTGATATTTTTGGTGTGCTTTGCAAACTAAATTTATACAGGAATCAATAGGCCACAATCCTCACTACGGTAGTGTTAACTAGAGCCTGCTTGACTAGGCTGTTGAAACAACAGATTTTGCTGTTGGCTGAGCTCGCTTGTACCACGATGGTCGGTTTCTGCTTCTACCCCTCCCTTCTCTCTTCGCCTGCGAGCGAGAACGTCGAGAGTTGGGTGAACAAGATTTCACCAGCTCGACCAACGGTTCTGTAATTTGTAGAGATTCGGTTGTGTCAGAAATCCTTTTTTATTTAGAGAATTTATATTGTGACATGCTAAATATTTTATTTCATTTTTTTTCAACGAGTATTGATATATAAACAAAGAAATTTAGAATTGGGTCAAAATTTAATATACGACGCGTAAGGGATTTCCTGTGTCATCTTCAGAACCGTCGGCCTCGGACCTAAGGGAAAATTGGGAGGGGTGGGGCTGGTGTTTGAGAACGCAGACGCAACTGTCTAATCCCGAGCGTTGCAGCTGAACTACACACACTGACACCGTATCATTTTTTTTCCTCGAGCCGTAAGCAAGTTAAACTACGCTTGTGTATTAAACGGGTGCAAATAAGTAAAATGTATGCCATGCACATGATTCGTTGGAGCCTGTGTATTTAAAATACAGGCACACTTCCGTCCCACAATTTTATGTATGACAAAATACCCTAAAGTGGCAAAAGAGCCTAGAGTTAAAGACTAGCAATGCGTGTCTGTGTACAGTGAATCGCACAAGGGACCTTTCTGGTTATGTTACCGAGTGATTCATTCGCTCCTGTGACAAACAGCGTAAAACTAAAAGTACGAGAATTATGTACACCACGACACCCCAAGAAGATCCCATTTTAATAACTTCGAACACGCACCTATTGAATATAATATTTATATTATAATTTTTAATAATTCCGGGTCCACAGATTTCAGGATCGAATCTATGTACCCCACCGGTCACTGTACAAGTTGGTAACAACATGATTCATGATACCGGTCCGTTAGTTTTTAGTAGAACGTAGGCCTACCGTTAAAGAATATGATTACCTAAGCCTACATTTAAACAAGATTAGTTAGGCCTAGCAGTAAACAAAAAAAAAAGTTGTTGGTAGAAAGTGGGGCTACCGATTAACTTTAGTTAAAGAACATGATTAGTTAGTCAAGCCTACCGATAAACATCGTGAATAGTAAGGTTTAGATCTACCCGGTAAAACCAGAATAGTTACGCATAAGAAGGGTAAACAACATACGTTAGGCCTATAACGCTATATAATAAAACTAGTTAGGCCTACCCGTAAACAACATGGACATTATGATTAATTAAGTCTACAATTTACAAATAGCAGTGCAACTATTATGACATGGCCGATAAGATAAACTTTTAACTGAGCCAATGTACGGTAGCATTCATGTCAGAATCAGAAGTCATTGAAGTATACCGGTATTTAGTACCTACAAAATGATCACGAATTCTCACCCCCCCC